CTGACAGCGGGGACGCCGGGCAAAGCCGCCACGGAGGACGGTCCCCGGGCCGCTGCTGAGCCCTCGCCCCCATCACAGCCGCGCCCAGTACAACCCGGGCGTGCTCCGGACTTTTTAATGCAAAGGCCAAAGAAGACATAAACCCTAGCAGGTCTTCAGAGTGGAACTTCATCGTTTGTATCTCTTTGAACTCGTCCCCCAGCTGTGCCCTGGAGAGCCGGTCCTGCTCCCAGAGGCAGAAGCCGCCGTTCAGAGCCCGGGGCTGCCGGGTGCGGGGTTGCCGCGGCCACGCCGTGTTGGTCGGGGAGGCGGTGAGGGTCGGCATGCACGCAGCGGGGGGCGCACGGGGGACTTCTTAAAGTCTGTGCTCCATCTCGATGTGTGAGTATAAAGTCATTCCTGTCTGCGGTAGAACTGGGGTTCCCGTGGACCTTTTCCTGGTGGTTCTCAGCATCTTAATAAGACCGTTACAGTTTAAGGTCATAAAAGTTTTATTTTTATGCAGCCTATTACACAGATATTTTACTGCATCGGAAAGTCCTGCGTTTCAAGCCTCCTGAGGAATTAGCATGGGCTCCCTGTAATCATCTGTACGGTTGCCGTTGCAGTGCTACGCTTACACTTTCACGTCGTGTTTAAAATGCTCTTGCAGCCGGCCGCCTGCAGGGGCTGCAAAGGCCGCTTGGAGTCCTTCAGTCCACAGGGAGAGAACTCCTGAGCCTCTGTTTCCAGCAATGCCGTGGATTAGGGGTGGCGAGGCTTCTTGCTGGAAACGATGAAAAGCACTGGATACAACTGCCCTTTCAGAATGTTTCAGTGCACGGGTGAGGCAGGACGTCGGCGGGAGATGCCGACGGTCCCAGGAGAAGACAGTGGAGCCGACTGTGTCCTGGAGCGCAGGTGACCCAGCCGAGAGCGTGGGGCCGGCGAGCTCGCAGCCTCACGTGGCTCGGGTGACCGGTGCCCGCTGGCCCCGGGTGGGCCGCTCACCCACCGGTGTGGGAGGAGGCGCACCTGTGCTGGGCTCCTTCCGGTCCCCATAATCTGCCCGGAAAGTGACGTCCTCCACGGGGGTCAGTGATTGCTGGGGTGACCTCTCCCCTTTTTCAGAGCTGGATCCGACACGCCCAGTTTTTATTTTCTATGTCTTTATCATTAGTGTTTCCCAACTTTTAATTTGCACCTGCTTTTCGTAAAATCTCCCCTTCATGACGTGAGAGCGGATGACCCAGAGCAGAGGTGCGACCCGAGGGGACCTGGGTGCAGACAGGAGCGCACACCTGTGCTCCGCCCCCTGGGGCCGAGGCTCCGCCCACCCCGGCCGCTCACCAGCCTCCCACGCAGCCGCTGTCGCACCTGCCGGCAACCCCCACCCTCAGTCAGAACTTCAAACACGTCCGATCGGCGTCTACACACTCGTCGTCACAGAGGACTCTGTCACGTATGCGTGCCCTTGAGGCAGCTCATGTCTCCAGTCTTCACCTCTCACGTTAGAACTCCTTCGAAGTCCCTGCCTGTGAAGCAAGCCCGGCCACGGTGCCAGCCTCTGCCCCGAGCCCCCCGTTATTCCGAAGGAAACCCCACGGACAGAGGCTCTGCGGGAGACCAGGCGCCCAGCGCTCCCTGTGGCGGCCGCGGGAGCCCAGGGCGTCGTCTCAGGAGAACGGCGTCAGCGCCCACGGAGTGTTCCGGACGAAACGACCTGCCCCCTGGAGCACAGAGCCGTGTCTCTCGGATCGAGGCGCGGTGGCGTTTGGCTTCCTGCCGCCCCTCCGAGCTGCAGGCGTGGCGCCGTCCAGAGAGCGGGGCGGCCGGCAGAGGCAGGGGGCGCCGGCGTGCTGGGCCGCCCCTCCCGTCTCCTTCCCCGGAGCTTTCTAGGCGCACAGGCCCCTGGGGTCGGCACGGATTGGATTCCAGAGCTTTCTTTCTTTCTTTCTTTTTTCCAAGTCCTTGGGACTAAAGAAGAACAAAGCATCCACAGGCGAGTTCAAGTCTAAATGTCAGTGTGAGCACAGAGCTCAAAACTCTCAGCTGTGACGCTCGTGGGGTTTTCCTGTGGATAGTTGAGATTCCTTGCTGTTAAAGACCGTGTTGATCCGAGTGAAGAGTGAGCCCTGACCGGCACAGCTCCGTTGGCTGAGCTGCGTCCTGTATAGCGAAGGTCGCTGGTTCGGTTCCCGGTCAGGGCACGTGCCTGGGTTGTGGGCTGCTCCCCGGGGGGGGGCGACCAGTCAATGTTTCTCTCCCTCTTTTTCTCCCTCCCTTCCTTTCTCTCTAAAAATAAATAAAATCTTTAAAAATATATATAAAGTAAATGAGAGATCAACTACATTGCAATATTGCCCAGGAAAAACCCTGGATGGTGCTGCTTTTGGAGATGAAATTCAGTGCGTGCTTTGGGTGCATTTGCTCCAAATACTGACAGCGAGAATCTACATAAAACGTGAAATGTTGAGAGATTCACGCCCAAGCCTCTGATTTGAAGTGTCCAGCAATGGCTACAGAAGGTGACTCCTGCCGTGGAGCCGGGGGGATGGGTGGAGCAGGACAGTGAGGGTGGGGGTGCAGACCCCGATGTTCTCAGAAAGGCGTCCCCAGGCACAGTGGCACGGGGCGGGGGGGCGGGGAGGGGTAATCTGAGGCTCTGGGGCTCCGTGCCGGGTGCCGGCTGCCGGGTGCTGGCTGCCGGGTGCTGGGCGCAGCAGGCTCCCACTGTGGGGACACGCCAGCCAGAGCTGGACAGGCCTGCCTGGTGACAGGTTCACAGAGGTGGGGGTCCCCTCTGGTGTCCCAGCATGTCGAGTGGCCTCAGTACCCCAGTTCTGGGTCTCCAGACCGCCAGAAAGAGCAGCTGAGGGACACAGACGACGTGGAAATCTTCGGGGAACACACGTGTGCTGTGAAACTGCCCAGGGCAGAGACCGGCAGCTGAAGGGCCCCCGGCCCGGGTCACCTGCCCCCTTGGCCGTTCTGCTGACACCACCCTCTCTCCCGCCCTGCCTTTCGGGGCTGAGTTTCGCCCTCACTCATCAGTGCGACTGAGCGTGCTCACGTGGCCGGAGCAAAGCCACGGGAGGTGTGACCGGGAGACTGCTTGTCGGGGGTGTTGTGTTACTGCGGCTGGGGGGTGGAAGCTGTTTCAGGAGGGGGCGGGGCCTGGGGAGGACTCGGTGCAGGGTGGAGGGGTGGAGGGCTGCCGGCAGGGGGTAGCTCAGGCGCTGGGCTGGGGGAGTGCCGTACTAACAGGCAGGGGGCGTTTGGTTCTGACTCGAGGGACAAATCTGCCATTTCTCTCTTCAGCGGGTGAGCCAGTGGGAGGAAAGGGGGCATGTGGGGGCGTCTGGGGGACTTGGAGGGTTTTAAACAGCAGCCTCCAGCCCTGCGTTCCAAGTGGGAAGTCCAGTCCGCAGCAGCCTCGCTGGGGACCGTTGTCCTGGGGAAAACAAGGCGACCCGGTGCACCTGGAGGTCCCCCTTCCCGTCTCCCCTGTTACCAATGGAGAGATTTCCCTCCAAAAGCTGCCCAGTCCCCTGCGGCTAGAGGGGGCCTGTGGTCCCGGAAAGCCACGGGGAGGAGGGGGGTCCTCCAACGCGACTCCCGCCCAACTCTGACCTGAAGAGGACGCCCAGGGCGGCTGTCTCCCACGCTCGGGCCGCCTGCTGGCCTCCGTGAGCGGGACCCGCCGGCGCCTTGTTCCTTGTTCTCGCAAAGAGAAAACCGCCATCGTACAGATGTGCTGAGTGACCCCGGAAGGTGAGGCCCCCGAGTGCTCTCTCCAGCTGTCGGAATTTCAGAGAAACAGCAGAGGGAGCCGCTGAGGCCCCTGCCCCGCCGGCCGCGGGGGCTTTTCCAGCAGGCACACCCCCCCCCACCGCCCGGCCTCCGAAGGGTGTGCGGGACGGTCACACGGAGAAGAAGTGATGAAGCCTCTCGCTCTGGGGAGCCGGAGCTCGCCGAGTTTTAGAGACCGCTGTCGTTAAATCACTGCCGTTACGATTGTGTTTGAAATAGTGGCTCTTGGACTGAAATACGGGGGAACCCCACCCTTGGTCGGAGGCCCGGCCGACTCTCCTGGCTGGCGGCGTGACCTGCGCCGGATGGAAGGCCACTGTGTGGGTGTTGGAAGGAATGGAAGGAACCGTGTGTGCAAAGCCCCGCGTGCCCAGGACACCGTGCCCAGGCAGTGGCGGGCGGGGGGCTGCTCCAGAGGCCTCAGAGCTTTGCTGCCGGCGTGTCCCGATGGCGCCCAGCCTGCGGCCCGGGGTGAGAGGTCGGGGGGGCGGGGCGGGCGGATGAAGGGAAATGTCAGAGTCGCGTGGACGTGGACTCTGGGAGCCGTCAGGCTGTGACGTCAGGCAGACTCGGTCTGTCTGTCTGTCTGTCTGTCCAGCGTTCTGACTTCCGGTCGCCGGCAGGGGCAGGGAGCCGCCCCTTTCCAAGGGAACCAGCGTCTCTGCAGGACGGGACGTCCTGCGGTGGGTGCCCAGTGATCTCTGCCGGTGCTGCACGCACTGACCGGGGCTCCTCTCCTGCTGGGGGAGCCTGCTGCTGGGGGCTGGGACCCCCCTTCTGTGCGACACGTGCTCTCTGGGACGGCAGCGGGCGTCCTCTGTAGTCGCTGTGGCCAGTGTGGCTGAGACAGTGCACCCAGGGACAGTGTGGCTGAGGAGGGGAAATGGACCCGCGCGTCACAGGCTGCATTCGCGCGCCGAACCCACGGCGGCCCTTCCCAGCGGCAGAGCGAGTGGTCAGGGTCCCCTGTTCCTTAGTGTCCAGGTCTGCCTGAGTCCAAGCTGATGCCTGAAGTGTTCAGAAGTGGGGCGCATCGCACGGGGAGCCCCTCTCCGTCTCCTCTCGGTGCTGGAGAGACCCCGGGAGAGAGACTCACGGGGCCATGCGGGGGCTCCCGGCCGGCAGACGGCACCGTCGGCACGAACCTGAGCTGACCAAGGTCGTAACCTCGGTGCCGGGTGCTCACCCAGTGTCCCCGTGTCTTGCAGGAGGAAGGCGTCGTCAAGGAGATCGACATCAGCCACCATGTGAAGGAAGGGTTCGAAAAGGCCGACCCCTCCCAGTTTGAGCTGCTGAAGGTGCTAGGGCAGGGGTCCTATGGGAAGGTAAGTTCACCTTCAGCTCCTTCCGAGTCTGGTTCCGCGGCGGCCGGTGCCCCATCTCCAGGCGGGGCCCTCGGGCGTCCGGTGAGGGGGACGTGGTGGAGGCGCCCCTGAACAGGTGGACGCGCAGCCCCGCAGCTGGGGGAGCGAAATGCCCAGTGCTCCTCCCCCGGCGGGTCCTGCGCACCCCCAGAGCCGAGACCTCACTCCGCACGGCCAGGATTCCGTGCGAACTGAGGGGTCACAGAGGAGGAGAGAGAAGCACAGGTCCGGGCTGGGCGTGACTCCCTGTGGCCAAGAGGGCCGGTCTCCTGGGCTGAGTTCATTCTGGAATGGGGGTTTGCCGTGTTTTCTGGTTTCTCTCCCACGCTGCTGGTCCCCGCTGGGTCCCCTGCTCGCCCCGGCGTGGCCCCCGCTGCAGGGCCAGCCACTCGGGGGCCTGGCAGCCATCGGCAGGTGGATTTCCCCCTGTTCTTTCCGGAAATAAAAGTAGAACTCTAAAACCAGGTAAGAAAATGGCCATCGCCACCACGCACTGCCTTTCTGGGGCCTGGGACGGAACAGAGGGAAGCAAAGTTGTGTGTGTGCGGCTCCTCGTGCGGAGTCTGACGTCGTCTACACAAAGTCCTAACTGGGCTGCTCGTGTGAGCATGGTTTTCCGCCCAGAGCCGGTGGGACGGGGTTCTCAGTCCCCTTCCGGCCACGTGTGTGAGCTCGCGGGACCCTCCGCACCGCAGGGCCCCCGGGAAGAGGCAGAGGAGTGCGTGGACAGCACGGGGCGAGGGCGGGGGGCCCTTCCCGGGGCACCCCAGAGGCCGGCGTCGGACACACGGCCCCCCCAAACGGTGCTCACTGTCCCCCCCCCCGGGGTCTCCCGGTTTGAGCAGGGGGTTCCCTGTCACTTAGAAACGAATCTATCGTCTGAGCTTAAGCTGCTCGGAGGTAGAATCTGGGGGAAGAAAGCGCAGAGGAAGAGAAACGAGTTTCTCTTGAGAGTCAGGCCTGTCGTGGGGACGGGCAGTCAGAGCCTGCTCAGAGGGCGGCTCTGCTGTGGGGCCCAGGGGACCCTCGCAGGAGACTGAGTGCTCACCCCGGAGACGTGTCTGTCCGTCTGTGTTTTAAGAAGAGGAGGACATGGGTGGGGGGGGTGGGGCGGAGACAGCAGGGCAACCGTGAGAGCAAAAACAACAGCAACACAAAGGATGAGGTACAAACACATAAAAAACAAAGGAGGGCGGCGTCACTTCTGATGTGACGGTTTAACAGAAAATTCAGGCGCGGAGACAACCCACGATTCCTCCTGCGCGCACGTGGTGAGGGGCCGCTTCCCCGCAGCTGGGCCGTCGGGGAAAATCCTACATTTTCCTGCAGCGCGTCTGCTTCCCCGGGAGCTTGGGGAACTCCGGTGTGGCCCCTCGGCCAGTGAAATAGGGGCACAGCGCGGCGCCCCGTCGGTCTCAGCCGCCCTGCGCTCTCTCCGCAGGTGTTCCTGGTGCGGAAGGTCGCGGGCCCGGACGCGGGGCAGCTGTACGCCATGAAGGTTCTGAAGAAGGCGACCTTGAAAGGTGAGGGCTGCCCGGGGGGCGCGCGGGGTGGGGCGGGGCCGGCCGCGTGGGGGCGGTTTCCGCTCCGTGGGTGTCCGCTGTGCGGCGCTCGCGGCGTGGGCAGACCCGCGGCCGGAGGGCCTCTGCCGCGCCGCGCTCTCACGGACGGTAAACAGTGTGAACGTCTCCCTGAGCGTTTCGCACAGCCCCGCACGCGGCCCCCGGTCCCCAGAGAGAAACGCCGCGTTGTGTAAATACCGTCGTTCCGCATCTGTTCCGCTCGTGCGCACCCCCTGGCAGGTGGAGCGTGGAGCGTGGAGGGGGGGCGGTGGCGAGCAGGTTGTCACGGTGATGGGGGCGGCGCTCAGTTTGAGGCAGGAGGTGTTGCAGGAGGCGGCGCGTTTCCCGGGGGGTCCCAGTGACTGCGGCGGAGAGAGCCGCGCAGGCCGACTCCTGATCCCGGCCTCGGGCCCGCCCTCCATCCCCGCCCTCCAGCAAAGCCCCAGCGCCGAGTGCACGTCGCTGCTGTCCTCTGGGGTCTGCTCCGCGCTCACCGGCGTCTGGCGAAGAGCACGCGGGACCCGAGCCCCTGCCGCGTCGGCTGGGACCACGGCCTCTTCCCCGCGGGTGGGAGGGGGATCCCTGCGCTCAGCAGCGGAGGCGGACACACACACCATCCAGGCCCCAGGCAGTGGGACACGGAGCGTGTTATCACCTGTGCTCCTGGTCCCTGTCCCCAGGGAGGAGGGCACAGAGCCACCTGGGCCGATCGGGGTCGCTCTCAGGAGCAGAGTAGGCTGTGGGGTGCGGGGGGGTGCTGTCTTTGTAGGAGCAAAAGGGTGCGGAGGTCCCCTCCGCTGGTCTGGAGGATGCTGAGCAGGCAGGGAGCTGCACCCTGGGGACGTAGGCCAGACCAGGGCAGCCCCTCCAGCCTGTGGGGGGATGGGTCAGTTGGGGAGCCTGCCTGCCTAAGTGAGGGGGACTTCTGTGAAAGGGGGACACACGCTGGGCCTCTGGGGGCTGAAACCTGAGGGTGTGCAGGCAACAGTGGGCGCCAGCCTTAGAGCCCTGGGCCCCCAGAGCTCCCACACAGGCCATGCTGCTCCCGCCACTGCAGCCGCTGGCTGTCCAGCGGGCAGGTGGGGCGCACAGTTCGGTCTGCATGTGACCAGCAACACAGGACACTAAACACACAGACCGAGTACGCAGCAACCAAACCAAAGGAGGCCACACGAGGGGGATTATGGGTGGGGGGCTCCCGTCTGGAGGGTGCTATGGGGAAGACAGGAGCCAGGGCACCACCGCAGCCCGGCCAAGGGGGCCCCTCTGTGCAGGCAGGGGCTGCCCCAGAATCCCCTGCATGTGTTCCGGAGGGAAAATGGTCCAAACAGGCTCCTGGGCCCCCTCTTGACCTGCTGAGTCCGAGTCTCTCCGGGGCAGAGCCTGGAACCTGACTTTGTAAACCGGACCTCCGAGGTCCAAGTGACTCTCGTGCAGGAAGCTCTGTGTTGCAGATATGCTACATTGTTGCAGACATGCCACATTGTTGCAGACATACTATGTTGTTGCAGACACACCACATTGTTGCAGACATACTACGTTGTTGCAGATATGCTACATTGTTGCAGACATGCCACATTGTTGCAGACATGCTGCGTTGTTGCAGACACACCACATTGTTGCAGACATACTACGTTGTTGCAGATATGCTACATTGTTGCAGACATGCCACATTGTTGCAGACATACTATGTTGTTGCAGACACACCACATTGTTGCAGACATACTACGTTGTTGCAGATATGCTACATTGTTGCAGACACGCCACATTGTTGCAGACATACTATGTTGTTGCAGACACACCACATTGTTGCAGACATACTACGTTGTTGCAGATATGCTACATTGTTGCAGACATGCCACATTGTTGCAGACATACTATGTTGTTGCAGACACACCACATTGTTGCAGACATACTACGTTGTTGCAGATATGCTACATTGTTGCAGACACGCCACATTGTTGCAGACATACTATGTTGTTGCAGACACACCACATTGTTGCAGACATACTACGTTGTTGCAGATATGCTACATTGTTGCAGACATGCTACATTGTTGCAGACACGCTGCGTTGTTGCAGACACGCTACGTTGTTGCAGACACACAGGTGTTCAGCGCAGCCCGTCCAGGCAGCATCCTGTTCTCCCCAGTGAGCCTTGTTCACTGCAGCTAGGGTTGTATCTGCAGACCTGTCTGTGGATGGAACTTGGCCAAGCAGTCCAAGGTTCTGACATCACTTTAAAGAATTGTTTTGTTTCATTTTTGTAATTTCCTACACAGCATTGAAACGTGTGGGAAGCAAGGGGCATAGGAAAGTACAGAGGAAACAAGAAAGGCTTTGTCTCTCTAACCCAAGTTTTAGTCAGATAGGCCCTTCCCCGGACAGGAGCCCTCAGAAACGGACGGTTGAGTTAGGCCTGTGTTAGCTCAGGAGCGTCGGAGCGTCTGAAACAGCGAACGGCCGCTCCGGCCCAGTGACCCTCAAGACGTGTGTCAGGGGCTTGTGCGGGGCTGTGCACGGCCCCACCGGCCGGCTCACGGTGGTGGCCAGAGGTGGGAAGCACCCGAATGTCCTTCAGCGGGTGGGCAAATCAGGTGTGGCACAGCCACACGGCGGGGCACGCTCGACTGTGGAGAAGCCACGCGCTGGCTCCTGCTGCGACGTGGGCGCATCCCGCAGACATCACACGGAAGCGGAGGAAGCCGGCCACAGAGTCCCCGGGCTGCAGGTCCAGAAGGGGCAGGTCCACAGACGGAGAGTGGATTCGTGGTTGGGGGCGGGGCTTTAGGGCTGGGGCGGGGCCTTGGGGCGGGGCGGAGGGTAGGAATGACTGGTGGTGGCCATGGGGTTTCGATGATGGAACTGCTTTAAAACTGGCCGTGGGGACAGCTAGAAAACTCTGTGACTATTCTAAAAGCCACTGAATTGTGCCCTTTCAGCAAGTGCATTGAATGACATACAAGTCATTCAATGCAAACCTGTCTGTGGATGGAACTTGGCCAAGCTATCGTTTTAAAAACCAACCGCTGCTAGCCCTGGCTGGTGTGGCTGCGTGGGTTGAGCTCCAGCCTGAGAAGCAAAGGGTCACCGGTTCGATTCCCAGTCAGGGCACATGCCTGGGCTGTGGGCCAGGTCCCCAGCAGGGGGTACGCGAGAGGCACCCACACACTGATGTTTCTCTCCCTGTCTCCCTCCCTTCCCCCTCTCTAAAAATAAGTAAAATCTTAAAAAAAAACAAAAACTCAACAGCTGCTAAAGAACATGGGGGGGCGGGTTCTAAGACCCTCTCTCACCGCCCCCCCCCCCCAGCACTGGGCAGGCAGGTCCCGAGACGAGGGCGGGTGGGAACGGGAAGGTGTGACGTCATCCTCCCGGTCACGTGCTCCTGGAGCTGACGCACCGCTACGTCCGCCGGCTGATGCCATAGTAACCTGGCCAGCACAGGCACCTCGACCGCGAACCGTTCCTTCTCGCCCTCACACACGACCTCCCCCCCCGCCCCCCAGTGAATCTGCGACTGTGCTCGCTGCCCCGGGGAGCGAGATGGAGGCTCCTCCGGTGAGGAGCGGGGGTCTGTTCTTGGCTCGGCCTGCGGCGACGCCTGCAGTCCGTCCGCGTGAATCAACCCCGGCCGCTCAGCTCCCGTGCAAAGTCCGGCTCGGTGAGCCCGCCCTCCGCGGGCACGCGCACTGTCCACACTTGTCTCACACACACACACACACACACACACCGCCCCCCGCGTCCCTGAGACAGCGTCTGGTGGGGCACCGCCGCGGCGGGGCAGGAGATGGAGTGTGCCCAGCCCGAGCGTGGCTTGGTTGAATGCACACGAGTGTGTGTGTCAGGACGGGGAGAGGCCCGGCGTGTGCAAATCCTGAACACACGCCGCGCTGGCCGGCAGACGGGTGCCGCGTGGAACGGGCACGCGGTGACTGGCTGTGATCTCCTTGTCCACGCCCCATGGTTCAGGCGTCCCATAAAAAATAAAGCCCTGGCTGGCGTAGCTCAGTGGATTGAGCGCGGGCTGCAAACCAAAGCGTCGCAGGTTCGATTCCCAGTCAGGGCACATGCCTGGGTTGCAGGCCACGGCCCCCAGCAACCACACATTGATGTTTCTCTCTCTCTCTTTCTCCTTCCCTTCCCTCTCTAAAAATAAATAAATAAAATCTTCTTTAAAATCTTTTAAAAATTTAAAAAAGAAAACTTAAAAAAATAAAATAAAATAATAAAGCACGCGGCTTCGTTTGTGAACAGCCCCATGTGCCCGGCTGTGTGACGTCACTTGCACGTCCGTCGTGCAAAGGAGCCGGGGGAGCGTTTGGGGCGGCCGGTGCGCCGCCCCGGAAGCGCCCTCTGTTTCAAGCCACGGAGCATTCCAGCCCCCCGGGACGGCCGCCACTGAAGAACTGTTACTTCTTTCCCGGAAATGCAGCTGGGAGGGACTTCCTCCGGGGAAAACAGAAGCGGTCCCTTCTGCGGGGTGGGGCTTGTCCGGGTCAGGGGGGTCGGGGGTCCGGGGAGGGCTGGCCCGCCGCCCCTCCAGGAGGGCCAGGAGGGTGGGAGGACGCCCCCCACTCCCACGTGGCTGCCCCTCCCTGGGGAGGGGGGCGGGGCTCGAAGAACCCTTTGACCCCGGCGCTGCTCCCACGCCTCTGCGGCCCCAGCCCGAGTCCCTCCGCTGTCCCGTAACCCGGGAATACCCTGCAACGCCCTTTCCGCGTCCTCGCCCTCGCGCGTCCGTGCGGCGGGTGGTTCCGGGCAGTGGGGGAGGGCAGCGCGCGCCCGGGCCGGCGCCGCAGCCTGGTGGGGCAGGCCGCCTCCCCGCCACCCTCCCGCGACCCCACCGTGCGCAGGGCCCGCGCGGGGGAGGGGGGGTCCGCTGCCGGGGGGTGGGGGAAAGGGGCGGAGTCGACGTGGAGGGCGCGGCGGTCTCCGCCCAGAAGGCTGGGTCAGCGCCGG